AACGAAAGCATATTCCTTGTTCAGAAATTTTAGCCATCAGTAAATTTCCGACAACATTTAGATAGCAAACAAAAATATATATGATAAAAACGTTAAGAATATATTTTTAAAAATAATACTTATGTGTTTGAGGCTTTAATGTTCGCAAATTGTAAACACGTGCTTTTTATGGTCAACGGTCAGAATTTTTAAAAAATTATTTATTCCGAGATTTTAATGAAAGTATCTTGTATTCTATATACAAGAAAATAAGACCTAATCCATATAAATAAATAGTGTGTGACGTTTCAGTAACAGCATTGTTATTATCATCAGTTGGAAGAATAAATGAGAAAAAATATCACGGCATGCTCTTAAATATTACTGTTATCAAGTATGTAAACAAGATAGCAGATAATAAAAAAAAATAGTTTTTTAAGATAACCTAAAATTTAAGAACATGCTGTGATATTTTTTCTCATTATTCTGTTGTTTGATGATGGTAACAACGCAGTTACCGAAACGTCACACACTATTAATTTATTTGGATTTGGTCTTATTTTCTTTTAGCTATAATCAATCATCCAAATTGTGATTTATCATCTCGTACATTGTATTCCTACTTTGTATACTTTTATAAAAATATCTAAAAACATTACACAATAAGAAAAATAGTACAAAAGTGAATTTATACTTGGATCTGGTGGATAAATTAAAGAAAAAATGCATTTCCTGATCGTGCAACTGAAATTTGCTGATGGCTTGCGCCATCTATCAGAATAAATATCAACTAATCGTTGATTTTTAATTATTCCAGAATTGACCAAATACCCTTTATTGATTAATCAAGAAAAGCTAACCACGGACGCGTTTGGGGCTGTTGGCCCTCGTCATCGTGGTGCAAGCTATACCTCAACGACCAAAAAGGCTGGTATTTGGGGCATCCTAAAACCATGAAACAGGTATATAAGCCAGAAGGGCGTGAGAACACCAATCAATATGAAAAATAGTACAAAAGTGAATTTGTACTTGGATCTTGTGGATAAATTAAGTAAAAAGGCATTTCCTGATCGTGCAACTGAAAGTTGCTGAAGGCTTGCACCATCTATCGGAATAATTAAAAATCAACTATTAGTTGATTTTTAATTATTCAGATAGATGGCGGAAGCCATCAGCAAATTCCAGTTGCACGATCAGGAAATGCCTTTTTTCTTAACTTACACAATAAGTTTTTTATTACAATTTTTTTCATAATAAAGAAACTTATTGTGTAAGGTTTTCAGATTTTTTATAAATTATTATCGCAATATTTTCTTTATTCTGTATACTTTATTAACTAATTTACACGTAATCAGGTAAGAGTTAGCTTCCAACAATAAATAATAGAGGAAGCTACATAAATAAGAGACTTGCTTACAGAATTAGGTAATAAACAACGTTGCCGAATTGATAAGAAGAACTTAAATAATCTATGATTAGATTAATCGTATTTATTACAGATTCTCACCAAAATATATTCATAGAATAATTTCTTTACAAGCATTTTTTATAATATTATAAAAGGTAGAACATCGTTTTTATAGTGTTTTTTTTATTTAACCGAACTTTAAAGCATTTCTGCCCTTCTACAGGAGTAAAAATGAGGGAAAGATTCAAAGGAAGTGCAGAAATATTGAAAGCTCGGATAAAAAAAAAAAATACTTTTAACAAGTTTATCCGCAAATGTTTCTTTTTGTTGTTGTTTGTTTTTTTCCGCAAACGTCGTTTTATAAGCATAGCCGCATTATATTATATTATAAAAAAATCTTATAAGAAACTCTTTGCCTCAAGATTTTGTTCTTTTGATAATATATTGATGCAGACAATTTTCCAACACTTATGATATCTATGGTGTTGTCTTGTCCATCCATGGAAAGGAGATGTGCCATTTGTTGATGGTATATCTCAATAATTACTTCTCTTCTAAAATATAAATTTTCTTTATTGAAGGTACAAAAATAAGGAACATAAATTACTAATCCTCCTGTAGAAGGGCCGGTCAGCCCGAAAGCTTGAGCGATTTAAAATAAAGCTTCCTACAAAAGACACTCGTCCCATGATTCTCGTATTTGTTTTCTAAATAAATTACTAAATATATCTAAGTAAACATTACTAATAAAATAACATCTCTCTAACAATATTTCTCTATTTACTCTCACTTATATATATCGTATATTTTTAAACTGTATGACACTTTTAGTATATGTCACATATATCCTGCCCTTCTTTTGGAATGTACACCGTTTCTGTTTGCTGCCACCCACATATTTTGTATATATGCTATATCTTTATTGATAATACCTGTAAACCCCTATTTGTATGTAACACTAAAAATGTTGACGTCAAAATAAAAATCCAAAGAGCGGTCAGCTGGGGACAGCTGGGGAGAGAGGAGGAAAATGCCAAAGCCCATTTGGGGCCCCCAGGGACTCTTTATAGACAACCCCTTTAAACAGGACAGGTTTAGGCAGGGGGTCAGTAGCAGATGGTTCTAGAGTGTGTTGCTCGGCAGGCCGCGGCAGCCTGTCTCTCCATGTCTCGGTGATAAGCATCCAATTTGTGTGATGGCCCCTACCTCTGTCCCGTGGGCTGTCCCCGATCCCTCTCTGTGCTAACATCTAGCCCTGCCTCTGCTACTTGTTGTCCGCGTGTGGGAAGAACATCAACACTCGCCTCACGTACACGACTGCCAGTTCATCCATACGTCGACATTTGCAACAATATTACATATTAAGAAAAAGGAATCTCCTTATCGTGCAACTGAAAGTTGCTGATAGCTTTCGCCATCTATCGGAATAAACATCAACTATTCTCGTTGATTTTTAATTATTCCAGAATTGGCCAAATACCCAATTTTGACTAATCAAGAAAAGCTAACCACGGACGCGTTTCGGGCTGTTGGCCCTCATCAGCGTGGTGCAAGCTGTACCTAAAGGACAAAAAATTGGTCATTAAGGCATCCTGAAAAATCATGAAACGGGTAGTTAAGGCCAGAAATGCGTGAGAACGCTACACAATGTGAAAAAAAGTACAAATGTAATATTGTACTGGGATATGGTGCATAAATAAAAAAAGGCTCTCCTTATCGTGCAACTGAAAGTTGCTGATGGCTTGCGCCATCTATCTGAATAAATATCAACTATTCTCGTTGATTTTAATTATTCCAGAATTGGCCAAATACCTATTCTTGATTAATCAAGAAAAGCTAACCACGGACGCGTTATTATTATATATATATATATATATTTTTTATATTAAAATGTAATTTTATTTAAAATTATATTGCATAGATTCAAATACTCTGTTAAATCGATCGCCAGAAGTCACGCTACCCCTATAAAAACATATTGTTGTTGTTTCCCGATGGCCGGCTCAACCTTTTGTACATTATGTGAAGCATATTTTGTTTTATTTGTTCTACTCGCCTTAAGCCAGGCAGTAATTTTATCAAATTATGTTGTTCATATATATTCCTTAGCTCAAATAAAGAAATCTCTGATCAAAACGATTTTATTATTTCCACGACTGCAAAAACAATATCGTAACATACTCATATGTATACCAAAATCAAGCAACAAATAATAATAATTCAATATATCAATCTAATTCCAAAATACAGCAGAAAATCTATTTTTTTTTCAATTATTTATAACATATATTTAGATATATATATATATAGACATATATATATTATAACATATATACAGATTATTACAATCATAGAATAATATTTGACCATAACATCAAACACCATTGCCCGTTAGTCAGCCACATTTCAGAGTTCCCTGTATGATTTTATAGAATATTATTATACAAAATATAATATTCCAAAATCTTTTAACTTATATAATTTATTACTATTTTAAATATGTGTTTTATATAAATGATATATTCAAAGAGTGAACTATATTATGAGCTACCACCTTTAGAATATGGGAAATGACTTGATCTAATTCAACCTCTAATAAAAGACTGACAATAAGATAAACAAGTTATGAATCACTAGAGCGCCATCTGTTATGAAAATTCGAAAACTATTTTAGACGCGTAAGATTGTTTTTGAAATTAAACAATTTCTACTGCCCTTACTGCAATGTAAAAATTAATGGGAGGACCTGGCTCATCAGTGGTGAATCCTCCCAGCGGTTTCGCCAGTTTAATCTACCATACTGGTGTTATATTGCATTTTTCGAACTTCCATTTATTGTCATACTGATGCTAGACTCTTGAGATAAACCAGTAGCATCAATGCTTTTGGATATTCTATTATGGTAGGTTTTATTATTATTTAGAATGTGCTTAGATTATTTGAATTCTATTAAAACACGCTATGTTATTTTTTACTTACACTCATTGAAAAAATTTCAAAAAGTGGAAAGTCTTTGATGTCGACGGTCGTCTGTTTTTTTTTAAGGATACAGAGGTAATTTTGTAAACAATTGGTTATCTTTACACAATAATAGTATAATCTATAAACACAAAGCAATACACGCCATATATATACACAAAATTAAATTATCAAGTACGTATTTATATTTTTTAAAATAAAGCAAACTTGATACTGCTCTTAATGCGATGAAAAGATATATTGGAAAGGCCTGACTCATCAAGGGTTGCTCTTATTATTTTTAGATTATTGGGAGGGAGTGGATTATCAGTGGTAAATCAGCGATTTCGCTAGTTAATTGAAATTGTTGTAAAGAGAAGTGTTGGGATCGGTTTTTATGTTTACTAACCTAACCTAACTTGAAGATAACCTGAAATTACCTCGCCGTTGCTTGTAAATACTTTGTGATAGTTTAAAATACAATATAATGCGGCTTATGATTGTATAACAACGTTTGACAAGTTTTACCACAAATGTTTCTTTTAACCGAAAAATTGTAATTTATTTTAAGGAGAAATAATGACTATTTCTATCCTTTGGGAAGAAGTATGAAAGGATGAATTGTGAAGAGTAGCGATGAACCGAAAAATAAAAGTGTCCAGGGATGGGAATCGAACCCACAGTGTTCCTATTACCGGGCAGATGCCATGTCCACTAGACTACCCATCCCTGGACATTTTTTTTTCGTTCATAATTTCTCTTCACAATTTATCTTTTCATACTTCATCCCAAAGGATAGAAATAGTCGTTAGTTCGCCTTAAAATAAATTAATATTTATCGTTCAAAAGAAATATTTGCGGTAACACTTTGTGATAGATTAGGGTTAGTAAAGATGGGAACCGGCACCTCTCATTGTAAATGTTTGAAATACCAACTTCATCACGTCTTCAAGCTATGGAAACTTTCAAAATATTGACACTATATTAAAGAAAAGGTATCTCCGATCGTGTAACTATAAGTTACTAATCATATATAATATATTATTATATTATACACCAGAGAGAGAAATTTCAAGAATCAGAACAGGACATTTTAAAGGAATGAAGATAAACCCAGACATGACTATATCCTACAGGAACTGCAATAACTGTTAAAACACTCAACTCACTCCGGACCATATATACCCGGCCATCCTTGCAGCCCTCTATATGACAGACATCAATCCAGAAGAGGACATCCATACGGACAAGACACCTCGGTTGGCCGGTATTGTGATCAGAGTGCACGGACCGATCTGATCTGATCCATGGACAAGACAACCACCACCACCTCAGTTGGCCGGTATTGTGATCAGGGTGCATGGACCGATATGATCTGCTCCATGGACAAGACATCACCACCACCTCAGTTGGCCGGTATTGTGATCAGGGTACATGGACCGATCTGATCTGCTCCATGGATAAGACACCACCACCACCTCAGTTGGCCGGTATTGTGATCAGGGTGCATGGACCGATCTGATCTGCTTTATGGACAAGACACCACCACCACCTCAGTTGGCCGGTATTGTGATCAAGGTGCATGGACCGATATGATCTGCTCCATGGACAAGACACCACCACCACCACCTCAGTTTGCCGGTATTGTGATCAGGGTGCATGGACCGATATGATCTGCTCCATGGACAAGACATCACCACCACCTCAGTTGGCCGGTATTGTGATCAGGATACATGGACCGCTCTGATCTGCTCCATGGATAAGACACCACCACCACCTCAGTTGGCCGGTATTGTGATCAAGGTGCATGGACCGATATGATCTGCTCCATGGACAAGACACCACCACCACCACCTCAGTTGGCCGGTATTGTGATCAGGGTGCATGGACCGATCTGATCTGCTTCATGGACAAGACACCACCACCACCTCAGTTGGCCGGTATTGTGATCAGGGTGCATGGACCGATCTGATCTGCTTCATGGACAAGACACCACCACCACCTCAGTTGGCCGGTATTGTGATCAGGGTGCATGGACCGATCTGATCTGCTTCATGGACAAGACACCACCACCACCTCAGTTGGCCGGTATTGTGATCAGGGTGCATGGACCGATCTGATCTGCTTCATGGACAAGACACCACCACCTCAGTTGGCCGGTATTGTGATCAGGGTGCATGGACCGATATGATCTGCTTCATGGACAAGACACCACCACCTCAGTTGGCCGGTATTGTGATCAGGGTGCATGGACCGATCTGATCTGCTTCATGGACAAGACACCACCACCACCTCAGTTGGCCGGTATTGTGATCAGGGTGCATGGACCGATATGATCTGCTCCATGGACAAGACACCACCACCAGAGAGAGAGAGAGTATATAGAAGTATCTTTTATGATTTGGCCATTTTAATAGTAATATATCTCTCTAAAATTCTAAAAATATTAACTAACCAAACGATATTTTAATGATACATTTAAAATAAATATTCAATTAATAAAAAGTTCAAAATGTTGAAGAAAAGAAACAATGCAAACTCACCTTCCTTCCAAACTAACTGTTACAAAAAAAGCTAGGTTTCAAGGAGTATAAATTATCGCATATTTCTTATATATATCCGAGTATATATATGAAAAACAATAGAAAAAAAAAAAGATAAGTGGGTCAGGTGTTGATATTGTCGCGGCTGGACCCTACCGGTTCTTTGCAACAACGCCGCTTCCTCCTTCATGGATCACCCACTCAGGCTCCCGTTGCTCTTCCCTGCAGGCCACCCAAAGACGTCCCGAGATCCACCTCTCCAGTGGAACTCCCTTCCTCTGGCAGTATCTCTCGGCCTTACCACTGGTGGGGGAACACGAGAGACTTACCAGAAGAGTAGCAGCAGCAGCCTGGCGATGATGGCAGTGGCGAGAGTAACGACAGAAGGCGGCACGGAGACTTTAAGCACTGACTTTATTGTCATCCACTACTAAACATTACATTTAAAAGAGATAATAACCAATGGGTATTTACATTATATTACATCCTAGGGCCAACATAAAAGTGTATTTACAATCATTTTTCCCAGGAAACAGGACCACAGCAGTCGGCGATTCCCACATCAGTTAGAGAAGGGAAACAGGTGAAAGCGCCATCCATTGGCTGAGGTTGTAATCATTTGGAGTCCTTACACGTGACACTGCCTCCTCCTTAAGGCGGATCGTCCCGATCAGGCCTCATCGCTTCTGTCGCCTAGATGTCACGCTTCTCTTGCCGGAATTGCCTATCTCGCTGGAATCGCCTCTCTTGATGGAACCGCTTCTTTTGCTGGAGTCGCCTTTCTTGCCGGAGTCGCCCTTTCGCCGGAGCCGTCCCTCTCGCCGGAGCCGCCCCTTTCGCCGGTACCGCTTCTCATGCCGGAGGCGCTTCTCATGCTGGTTCAGCTTCTTATGCCGGTTCCCCTTCCTATATCGGTACCGGTTTTCGCGCCGGAGGCGCTTCTCACGCCGGCACCTCTTCTTATGCTGGTACCACTTCTTATGCCGTCACCACCTCTCTCGCCGAAACCACTTCTCTCGCCAGGACCATTCCTCTCGCCGGGACCACTTATCTTGCCGGGACCACTCCTCTCGCCGGGACCGCTTATCTTGCCGGGACCACTCCTCTCACCGGGACCGCTTCTCTCGCCGGTACCGCTTTTCTCGCTGGCACCGTTTCTCCCGAGGGCACTGCTTCTCTCGCCTGTACCGTTTCTCTCGCCGGTACCGCTTCTTTCGCTGGGGCCGCTTCATTCGCGGTTCCGCGTGAAGCTGATTCAAGGTCTGTTAAGGAGGCTCCTCAATCAGGCCCTCCACTCCACGCAATTCCCCCATGTGACCCGGCTCGACTTCCAGTCCTCGGGACTCTGCCCGGTCCTCGCTGACATCATTCAAAGCTGTCTCGTCCGTACCTGTCTCATTCTGCAAGTGGGCCTTCATTTGAGACAGCAGATTCTCAATTTCTCTGTTTCTGATAAGCCTTTTCTCTTCGAACTCTTTTTCACTCCGAAGTCTTTCTTCCTCTGTTCGGCGCTTTAATTTGTCCCACTCCTCCTGGTGTTCCTGCCGCCTCCGGACGATTTCGGCCAGCGAATCCCGCTCAGAGGCCATCCCTTGGCCTCTCACATCAATGGGCCTTTTGTCAGAAACCAAAAAATTTTAAAGAAAAAAAAAAAGCCTCCTGGTGACCTCCACGAGGAAGAATCCCACTTCTGACACCAGTTGTCGCGGCTGGACCCTACCGGTTCTTTGCGACAACGCCGCTTCCTCCTTCGTGGATCACCCACTCAGGCTCCCGTTGCTCTTCCCTGCACAGGCCACCCAAAGACGTCCCGAGATCCACCTCTCCAGTGGAACTCCCTTCCTCTGGGAGTATCTCTCGGCCTTACCACTGGTGGGGGACACGAGAGACTTACCAGAAGAGTAGCAGCAGCAGCAGCCTGGCGATGATGGCAACTGTTTCGCGCTGTTGGTGCTCGTCAGAGTGGAGTAGGCTGTAACCACTGCGACCAAATTCATGTGTTAAGCGTCTTCACGCAAATTTGGCCTTAAATACCCATTTCTTGATTTCTCAAGAAGCCTCTGGAACCAAAAATATTTTTGGTCGCAGTGGTTACAGCCTACTTCACGCTGACGAGCGCTAACAGCGCGAAACGCGTTCGTGGATGGCTTTTCTTGATTTATCAAGAAATAGGGTAGGCCAAATATCACGGAAAAAGCTAAATAAACGTTTAGTTTATTTTTGCTCCACTAGATGGCGCTCTCCCATCTAAAAGGCAGATGTGCTCGTGGTCAGGAGATGCCTTCTTTATTTTCGAGTATATATATATATATATAATACTTTTTTTTTAAATCTTTCTTTTTAACTTTAAATTTTTGAATAAAGGTTAACATGCTTCTGTCTTTGCTCTTTCTCTAATCCTAATACCTTCAATTCTTTTTTTTACTACCCTATGCTCTGCTTCTATGACGCTTAAATGCCGAGGCTACAGCGTGAACTTGTTATAACCCATGTTTGAAACCAAGTTCTGGGCAAAAATAGTTGTTTTTTTCGTCAGAAAATAATGATGAAAATATTTCTGTATCATGTTTGATTATCATATACAAAATTATTTCGGGGAAATTTTCATAGAGCAGACCACGGGCGGAGCCAATTCATTTTTAGTAGGCAGGAACAAAATTCTAACAGGAAAACATCTCTCTATAAAAGCCTTTTAGCTGAGATCACTATATCTATATTTAATAATAATTGTCAATATATATTTATATATGAAAAAACAACAGAAAAAAATATATAAGTGGGTCAGGTGTTGATATTAAAAATAAAGAAGGCATCTCCTGACCACGAGCACATGTGATTTTTAGATGGCAGAGCGCCATCTAGCGTCTTTGGTTTTTTAAATCTAAAAGCAGATTTCAGCAAGCCAAAAGCATTAAAATCCATAGGGGCCAAGTCTGGAGATTTTGCAGGGATGTTCTTAAAGTTGATGTACGAAATGCCGGTGTCATCCATCTTTCCGTCCAAGGTATTGACGTGTTGAACGTAATGCATGACTCGTGGTCAGGAGATGCCTTCTTTATTTTTAATATTTATATATATATATTTTTTTACAAATATCTTTATGAAATTTTTAAAAGAATCATTAGCAAATATCCATTTTACTGAATCCATTTTTATAAATATATAAACATGATGATACATAGATAAAAAAAA